AGACCTGATTAATTTTGGGATAAATAATTGTGCCTATTAATTACCTAATTTGCATAATTAGTTAATTTTTTGCTGTTCTATGACTGTTGCACTGATGTCTAAAAACCACTCATTGGATTTCAACGAAACTTTTCAAGATTACCTGTCACATTTCAATGAACCTATATACACTATACTATACACCATATTAGTTTTTGGTAAATATTTATGCTTCTTAATCACCTAATTAACATAATTAATTAATACTGTATATCTCAAGTATTGATCATCACATTTGAATAAAACTTGGTACATAAATGGTCTAGGACAATAGACAGCCTGATTAATTTTGGGTTAAAATCTGTTCATATTAATTCTCTAATTAGCATAATAATTAATATTTTTTTGGTTCTAATCACATTTCAATGAAACTTGGTACATTGTGCAGACCTTATTAGTTTTACACTTAAATCTGTTCGTTACCTTATTTGCATAATTAATTTTCTGCGTTTCCATCAACATCTCAAGTTCAAGTAATTTTGAATTAATTTTTAATGTGTCTCCAATACTCTCAGCACACGGGAGTTTTTTCTAAGCTTTCTTTGATTGGGTGTTTTGTATGGAATTTATTTTCATGAATTTTTGATGAGTTGCAATGTGAAATATAGAAACAACAGTATATTCGCTGGATTTTATTTTCATTGAATTCCCAGTGAAAATGAAGTATTCTACAGTGCATAATGTTTGCCTTTGGCTAAATGCTAAAGTTACATGAGAACCATAACATTTGAACATTCACCAAAATACTTTATGATACAAAGATTAATTTACAATACTGTTTTCTCCCCTTGCAGTATTCCATGAATTAGAGTGTATTGTTGATAATCCATTCTATACTGAAGAAGCACTCGACTGCTGGCCCTGTGAAATAGTTGAGGAGATTCAAGATTTCTCTGGATTTGATAATTTTACTGAGTATTATTATCATAATGGAATACCATTCTATGTCACGGTAATATTAATTTATTTATATTTAATGAAACTAAAGTCTACAAAACATAATTATTTTGAGGTATTCTGAGAAAAATCATTTGTGTGATAAATATCATCATGACTAACGTGGATATTAAACACAGAGAATTTTGTGAGAAATGTGAATAAAATTATTCTGCACTGATTAGACTTTCATACAGATGATAAGATATTCATGCATATTTGAGGCAATTTGGTGAATCTCACTGATTGTGATATGTACAAATTAATAATAATAATAATAATAAGACTGGTTGAAATAATACCAGTGGCAATAGACTCCATTGAAGGGTTGAAATTATCCTAGCTTTGGAGTTCATGTTAGCCCATTTATATTAACACATTTTTTCTACCAATCACACAACTTTCAAATTGCTTATTTTACTCACAGACCAAATAAAAGATCATTCTCGGAGTACAATTTTACCCTTCTGATGATATTCAGTAATATGCTACTTAAATTGGTACCATTTGTAGTGTTTTCTATCTTTTAAACAACAACTTTATATGACACATAGCGTCTCTGATCTGTTAAATATTCTCCATCCATCTTTTCTGATCCTTGTAAAATTTTACACCTTATTAGGATGCAGATGGGGTGGTGGTGACGTATGAAATGCTACGTGATTTATACATTGAAAACAGAGAGGATATGGAGACCAGCATTGATTCATTCATTTCAACTGACTCCAGCATTACAGATGTGTATAAGCTATTCTCTCAGACACCTAATAGTCAAGATATAGTTGATTCTAACTTAGGTGTTATGTGGTAAGACTCGGTTATTAATCTATGTTTTTCTGAGGCTGTGTGAAATATGTGAATTGAAATAATAAGAGGTGAAAATGAATCAGTTTTTTTATAATAGTCTCCGTTCGGACGAAGTCCAAAAACGGGGACTTATAATTCGGTCTCCGTCCGTGCGTCCGTCCGGAGTCATATTTCAGAATCCGTCAGACTGATTCCATTCATTCTTTGCATGTGCCTAGTACTTTATGTGGGACATATGCACATGCAGTTGTTTTGCGATTTGATTCACAATGGCCGACTGGCAGGCATCTTGTTTTGTTTTTTTGAATGTGGTATCTTGGACATGCTTTGTCAGTTTTCATTCAAACTTGGCACATACTTTATACATGTTAGGATACATGTCCATGACAATTTGTTTCAAAATTCATAAATGAATACATGTACATGTCAATTCAATTTGCAATTCGATTAAATATGGCCGACTGGCAGCCATCTTGTTTGTTTAAAATGTGATAACTTGGACATGCTTTCACTTGTGATCTATGTTTTTCTTTGCTATGTCCTAAACTGGAGGGGTCGTCATGCAACA